AGCCGACGGCCGGGGCGCCTGGCGGGCGCTTGCCGCTCGGCTGGGGCCGGCCGCCTTGCAGGGAGGGGGGGGCCCCGGAGCAGCAGCTGGTCAGAAACTGCTCACCGGGGCTTCGGGGGCGTCCCAAACCTGTCTTGCAATGTGAAGGGGAGCGGGTATCCCTCCTCCCCCAGCGGAGATTCCCCGGACTGTGGATCAAGGGGACAACGGGGGGTGGGGGGCATCTCTGGCTGCCCCGGAGGTGGCAGCGCCTTTCTGTGGGCTGGAAATAGAGCCCTTCCCCGGCCTGAACTGCCCCTGAAGGCCCCGACTTGCTTTTGGGATGGGGCACCCAATTCCGTGCTTCTGCCCCTACCCCAGGTATATTTGACAAAGACAAAATTCCATCTATTTGTCAGCTTCGTGGAGGACAGGAGAGAGATCCAAGCTTTATCTGGGGCTGCAGGTGGGGCAGCCTGGGGCTTCTTGCCCCACTCCCTGGGCCCCAGAAGGTCCGTGCCTTACCTCTGTGGCGCTAGTAGGAAGCCTCGCACCTGCCGCCCGGCCTCTGCTGCACTTGTGGGAGAGGGAGGGAGCTCTAGGAAGCCCACCCAGCTGCCCTCCCTCTCCCACTCTGCCCTTGAACCCCAACCAAGGAAAAATGTGAAACTACTCTGTCTTTGCACACACCACCTTGCCCCCTCCCCCTTGGGCTGTGTCTTCATCTGAGCCAGCTGCCTCTCCCCCCAGCCCTGAGAGGACCTAGCAGGAGTCTCCCCCCAGGGGGGACACCACCACAAAGAAACTACGTACCCAAGGGGTGCTCTATTTGCCTCTTGTAGCATCTGGGACAGGGGATGTCTTTTCTTTTGTATCAGATTCAGAGACCAAAATAAAATTTAAAAATCCCAAAACAAAACAATAAACGTTTTTTTAACACTGCTGCCACCACAAAGCCTCTGCTTCCTTGAGTGGGTTTGGGATAGACTGAGAAGGGGGTACGCCCAAAGCTGGGGTGCTGCTGTGGAACGGAAGCGCCTTTACGGAGCGTGGGACGGAAGCTGCTTCAGGGGCCCCAGGAGAGCCAGCGGAATTGCAGGCACCACAGCCGCCCTCCTGCCCTCCTTTTGTGTTGTGCCCGACAGACGAGGTGCAGAATGCCAAGATGGTGCCCGTTGCTGGGATAGAATGGTGTCTTTTCCCTTCGTGCCAGGAAAAGCTTTGGAGCCCCTCCCTCCAGGACTGTTGGGAGCCGTGCAGGTGCCTTGCCCCCTCCCTGTTTGCACAGCTGACACAGGAAATGGGAAGGGGGTCAGTTCTCCCTGCGGACCCTCGTGCCTAGCTGCTAAGAGGAAATTCTCTTCCATTTCCTTGGGATGCTGAAACCTCCTTCTGGCTGAACTGGCCTTGGGCACTTTCAGCCCGAGCACTGCCGGCATCGGCCACCACCGGCCACTTCTGCGCCGCTCTTCTGTGTCCTCACCCAAAACGGGGCGACGTGCTCCTGTTTGACGTGTCTAGCACGAAACTCACGGCGCGCATCACTCAGCCACGGCTTGACCATGATGGCTGCTGGCTCGATTCACATGGTCCGTGGCATTGGGTGCTTCAGCCTGATCTGAGCAGCTATCCTCAGGACTGGGTTCATTTATTGCAGCAATCCAGTAGTTGGTTGGTTTGGTTTGGGCTCCGCATGTTACACATGCCAGAAACCATGGCTAGGAAAATGGGCTTTCTGCTCCCGTGTGCTGTACAAACCCTGCCAACTGCAGCTTGGTGCAACTTAGGGTGTGGAAGCAGCCTGATGGCGCTTTCCCTTCAGCAGCGGACTGCAGAGGGGCTCTCGGTTCCCTCAGACCTCCTCCTGGAATCGCCTCTCCCCACAGGAAACTTTTCTCTCTCTCTCTCTCTCTCTCTCTCTCTCTCTCTCTCTCTCTCTCTCTCTCT